TTTTATAGAATGAATCATACAGCAATAGAGGGTTCCTGATTTGATCTGTGCTAAAACACAATCTAAATTCCAATACAGAGTGTGCATTATTTGGGTCAAGTCTACAACAGGGGAAACAGTAAAATTTCCCACAATGCTCATGAACTGGATTGAGCCCTCCTGAGGCTGCTATTTACTGAAAGGGGGGGGGGAGATAAAAGAAGTCTAATCCCACCATTATTAATTAAATAATGGCATCTGTAGCTTGGCCCTTTTTCTCAGGAAAAAGGCTAAACCAAGCAGGATCTTGAAAAGAAATACAAGAGATGATCAGCGCTGTGAGTACAACCCAGGTAAAGCAGCACTTTAGGTACAACACAATAAGGCAGATGGTGTCATCGCTCATGTCTAAAATCATAGACTGTAGATTTTCTTATCCTATATAGATTCCAGATTGTTCACAATCTCCACCTTTATATTATCTAGCCATTCATTTTCATTACAGCAAAATGTACACATCCACATTCTACTTGACTTTGATTAGAAACTTCAGCACAGAAAGACCCAAGTGGAACTGTAGGGTAGTGTAATATATCCCTACCATTTGAATCAAAGAATATAATAAAAGACACAGTTTAAAGATAAGCATTAATGAAAGGTAGCCAGAAGAGTTCATTTTAAGTGTAAATGCAGAACCATATTTCTCCTCAGGCAGCTTAGTTGCTTTAAATGATTTCATTTTCAAAGGATTTCATTAATGGGGGAGTGTTGAATATTAAGGCAAGCTAGAGGTACGTTATAGCCAATTTGATGCGATAGCCATTCCATCTGGTCATAAGAACTTTATTTGGATCTCAGAGAACCTGACACTCAGAACAAGTGAGAAAAATAGAAAACAGCATCTCAGTATTGTACAAAAAAAATCCTATTTGATGATTCCTCATCTGAGGTAATCTCCCCTAGCATTAGATTGAGTAATAAGAGCACTTCTGCACCTAGTTTTGGCACCACTCCCACAGCAATGCTGTCCTCTTGGTTGTCACAGTGACATCTTTCCTGCACAACTCAGCCAATGTTATCTGAGCTGCCCAAAGTTGCAAATCACCAACCTTATTTTGCATGGAACCCAGGGGTAAGTAGCTTAGGCCCACCACCCAGAGTTCTCCTCTCTCCTTGTTCCCAAGCAAATTCAGGAGAAGGCAAAGATGGGGAGTGAGAACCTGGTACTGGAGTAGTAGCTGGTTTTTTACATTTTTTTGTTTTGGGGGGGTTGCACATGCTCAATAGTCAGGAAGGGAGAACACAGTGGCTCAGCTTAAGTTCTTGGATTGGCTGCATGAGGATGACTGTAGGGCATTCACAAATTGCTTCTAAGGATGAAGAGAGTGTTTGAGGGATAAAAAGGCAGGTGGTGTGCAAGTGCCCTAAATCGGTTATGGAAGAGACATCAGTTTGAACACAAAGTCCATATTAGGGCAATATCTTTTTGGACAATCTAAGAAAATGGAACAGGAAGATGAAAAAAGCAAGCTGATATTGAGCCTACATTTAATTATAGTGTTAACATGAAATTTGGGAGGAGGATGCAAACTTTCAAATTAAGGCCTGAACATTACCATTATAGTTTCTGGTGCACAAATCTGTGCCTAGAATTGGCAGAATAAAAAAAACCAAAAAACCCTGATCTCCCATTTCAAAAATATATAATTGTTTCCCAGCTTTGTTTCACCTGTTCATAATAACTTGAAACACATATCAGCACACAGAATATAAATCTACAAACTTCCATCTCAGTCCTGCTCATAGTCAGCATGATTCTCCTGAAATTTTCAGCAGCCTAATTTCAGAGCTCCTAAAATGCTGCAAAACAGATTTTTTTTCTTCTAAGCTAGATAGAAATCAATCCTCTGCTTTATTTATGATTCCCTTCCTCATTTCCCATGTTTTTTAAAACTACAGAAGTTTTCATATGCAAAAAACATGTTTAAAATATAAACCTGTACTAAAGTATTTACTTATTTAGAATTTGTCCCAATTTAGGTGTTTCATAACATATTAAAAGTTTTTGTTACAATAATAGTTTTTGTGCATCAAAATAGAAAAAGTGTGGGCAATGAAATAATCCATTTTGCAATCTATGGAAACCTATCTAAGGATTAAATCTTTCTAAACAAACACTGGGAAACACATACTCATGTATAACTGTAGCTTGCCCATTTTTTATTTACTTTTCTTTTCATCTGCAAGGATTTTCTGAGTTGAGCAGATCAAAAGATTAGTAAAATAACAGAATGCTTCCACTGGGGTTCATACTTACAACTTCATATTAAAATTAAAGCAGCAGTAATTTTTTAGCTGGCACACCACGTATAGATTGCTTTTACAGAGTGCTCAAAACGATATGCAAATTATAGCCAAAATCCAAATAAGAGGCTAACTTGTTCCAATGGACTCCAAGGAGGTTTTATATTTCTAAAACAAGTTTCCATTGTTACTTTCGTGGCTTAATGCTTTTAAAGGAAAAAGTAGTTTCAAACAATTTTGTGCCCGTACATGATATGGTATGTGCATGTCCTGTTCAGAATACCAAGAGGGATAAGAAACAGAGAAAAGTAAAAAATGTCCAAATGCTTACACATATCTAAAACAGCTCTTTCAATTCTGATCTACATGAATTAAGTAGTGTTTCCTTTTGTATCTAAACTTCAGAAATTCAAATTATAATATGATCCCAGCTTACTAAGCACTGCTGTGCATCTTTTAAAATTCTATTATTTAGGTGGAGATTTACTGATTTTGAATGTTAATAGGGGGAAACTATTTTAAAAACCTGCTCTCCAGTGCAAGTTTCTTTCTGCAGCATTTTCCAGGTCCATGCATCCAACAGGATGTCTTTCTATTACAGGGCAGGATTTGTTATTTGCCCGATGATAGATTGCCGCTTTTTTTTTTAATTATCAGCTCAGTATCTACTGAATGGAGAGAGCATTCTTTCACTTGGTGTGGCCATCCATAAACTAATTGACCAGTCCCTTGATAGATGCATCAGTATTTAATGATGAATCTAGATATGAAACTAATGAAGCTAGATATGAAACTGTTTCACTCCTGTGATTTAAACTCATCTGACCGGAATGAGAAAAATGAAAAAAATGAAGGAGAAAAGTGAAATATCACACACTGCAGTGGACACCCTGCTGAAGAACTGGAATGCTGTGAATAGTGCAAGTGATACGATACATTTATGAAGGAAGGAACAGTTAAATACCCAAGACTGCTGGCATCCTTTGAAGTAATCTTTATTCCCCTGAAATCAATAGGGGAGGGATCAAAACTCAATAGTATAGCATATTTTTTGCACGCACGAAGCCCTAGGGGTACATTTCTGATGTCTCTAATTTAAAAGGTGCTTGTAAGTTTAAAAAACACTCCTGGAGATTAGCTGACAAAGTAGTAATAATACTGTATAGTAGACAATACAGAATCTGACCTGGACTATGACGGTTTCCTATATTCTTAATGGGCATTACTGAGTTTCAAGGCTGCATATGGCATCTGAAGATAGCTTGTATCATCCATATGCAAAAAACCCAGTTATGTTTACTAGTTGGCAGAGTACAAAAGGACATATTTCACAATGTGCACAGGACTGGGACAGAAAGGATATGATAACCTTGGATTTGGTCCAGGGATTGTCCAACAGCTAAAGAAAAATAATCAGTAATGAAAATACCTGTTCTACTCAGTTGCCTGCCCTTTGCCATCTTGACTTTCCTCAAATCAAAAAGAAAAAAAAGACAAACCTCTTTACTTGTATAATTAGTAAAGGAATTGATAAAGGAAAAAAGCAATATTATTTTATAAAACAAAGCAGGAGCAGAATATTGGCTCATTTTCTGTAATTATGCTGGTACTGATCCAAGATCTGAGCTGAGGAAGTTGGCGAGAAACACCTGCTTTCTTTCTCTCTCTCTCTCTCTGTTTCTTTTTCTGGCTGCTATTGTCAATAAGCTGATCTCAAACCAATCTTCAGTTCAGGCACTATAGAAATACGAAAAAAAATAGGCTTACTATAGACAAAAGAGATCCCCAGTGGCATTAATATTGTTAGCAATAATCAAAGCTCTCAACCAATCTGACTTTCCATTTGGTAGAAGAATTTGCTGCTTAAGCCCCTCACTCTGGCACTATGTACTCACGCTTAATACTGTATGCATTAGTTAAGTCACATTTCTGGTGATCACCTAAGAGCGCCTTTGATTAGAGCTTCCTAATCTTTGTGGTCATTAATGGCAAGTTATATTTTGAGAGGCGGGCAGGTTTTACTGTCAAACAAGGCTCACAGATATGTTACTTTGCAATGGCCCCATTCTTGCTGGAGCAATGCCTTGCTTGAGTTAATGATCACTGAGATTAAATTATTAAAAATCCCTTAAATAAAGTACTTTTAGTCTGCCAGAGAAGAGATTATTAGCCTTCTCCCAGGCATACTTTTCTATGTAGCAGGGGTTTTTTTTTAATAGAAAAGGATGAGCCCAACTAAGACTCTTAAGAGGCATCACCCAGGTAGGTTCTCTCAGTGAGAACTAAAATTATATCTCTGCACTTATCACTCCTTATTGCTCTTTCGCTTCCTACTCAGTTTCTGCTTTCTAGTGCCTAAACTTGGAATATTGTTTACAGTTTAGTTATGCCTCCTCAAAACTTATATTTTGGCACTGACAGAAGGGCAGAAAAAGATGAGCAAAATGATCAAGAAGCTAAATGATCACTCCTTTGAGGAAAAACTACAATGCCTAGGGATTTTCAGCTTAGAAAAGAGGTTAAGAAAGGAGGAAAGGCATGAAAATGTGCACAAAACTAGTGGAACAAGTGAACAGGGAGAAATTTTGCTTCATCTCACACAATACTAAAACCTGGGGTCACCCAATAGCAGTAAAAGCTGGGAAAGGATCCCAGTTGACTTTAGTCTGCTGATTTTGAAATCCTGTGAAAAACACTATTACTACTGCTCAAAGTGTGCTAAATCAGTTGCAGGAAGCAAATCACTGTTCTATGCGTTGATCAATTATTCCCTGCACATCTATGTAAGTGGACAAACTGGAATATAATTCATGAATTCCAAAGCAGAATACAAAATGATGCCAGGATCAAGGGAAATGTTTATTTTCTTTCACTACAATTAAATTCTCTAAAGCAGTGTTTTTCAAACTTGGGAACTTTAAGATGTGTGGACTTCAACTCCCAGAATTCCCCAGCTAGCATGCTGGCTATGGAATTCTGGGAGTTGAAGTCCTGGCTAGGGAATTATAGGAGTTGAAGTCCACACATCTTAAAGTTCCCAAATTTGAAAAACACTGCTCTAAAGAAACGTAAATGCTTCTCTATCACTGAAAGTCAGGGAACCAACCTAATTACCAAGTCAGGCAGCTGAAAGGTTCTCATTTGTGAGAACGCCTCTTTTCTGAAAATGTGTGCTCAGCAACTGAACAAAGGATAGATGCAATCTTATGACTTAATGATTATCTAAATGAGAAATAATAGGATTATCTAGATCATGACTGTTGCAAGAGAACCTGGCAATTCTTACTGGCACAAACAGGTCAGGCTTAACTGACTGGGCTGCCAAAAGGATAGTGATTCCTGTGTCAGCACATAATCCCTTTGCTACATCAACTGGCAAGAATACTTCACAATAAGTGTTTGTCTGGTTAACACAGGAAGAGAAAAGATACCACACAGTAATATTCATTATGTTCCCCTGCAAAAGGAAGAACAGGTAGAGTAGAATATACATGTAACCCATTTTAAAGGCTTCCTGTATAATTATATAAAGTTATTTTATAATTTATAAGGACAAAAGCTGTTGTTTCTGGTAAGATAAATATTTATCAAAACAATACCTTCCCCTTCTGCCAAAGGAGCTCATGATCAAAATTATCCCACTTAATTTATTTTATATTCTCAATTTGGGATTCATCAGATTGGAAATGGCTAATTAGGATAAATGGGATAATATCTTGAGAATTTTGGGAACTGAAGTCCTGGGAGGCACCAGGCAAGACAAATTTGTCCTAGACTAGTATTTCCAATCCTAAATGGCATATCCAGGGCTACAGGCAGGTGCTGAACAACAGAGCATACCCCAGAAGTCCTGATAGGACAGGGTTATAATTCTGCTGATTCACTATTCAGGCGAAAGTTTTTGATCCATTCCTCCAAAATCAATGAGATAGTATTTAATACATTCCAAACTGGACGTCAACAATTAGAGCTTAGCCAGCCAGAATGTACATTTCCATCTACCAGACTGGGGATGAGTTGTTGTTTCCCGCCCCAAGGCTTTAATGTTAATTTCGTAGGGGAAAACTGAACTAGTTATATCCTTTCGCAGAACTACACTATACTGGTGCAAGGTGCAGGGTAAGAATTCCGAACAAACTGAAAATAATGGAACTGAATTTCTGAAAGCCAGAAAAATGTCTGAATAGTGTCTCTCAAGCAAGGAGAGTTAAAGGCCAGAATTACATGATTACTGTCAACACATATCTGCTCGAAAGCAATGGTGAGGTGAGGGGAAAAGCAGCAGATGAAGCTTCCTGATTATTAGCAAGCCTCATTTAAGCACCACTTTAAATGTCCTTTATGTAGACCTTCTGAGACTTAAAACTGAATGCTCTACATATGTTTTCTACCCACATTTGCAGTATGACTTTATTTGTTATTCATGGAGAATAAACTGTATTGGTCATTAAATCACCAGGTATTAAATCATCAAATGTTCTTAATGTTTTCTAATATTTTATTGGTTGTAATGACACTGTCTTAATGTTTTTACTGATTTTTGTATATTTTAATGTATTTTATTAATGTATGGCCACTTTTGTGTAGGTTTTACCTTATTTGTTACGACCTGTGGTCAAAACAATAAATAAATTGAACTGAATTAAAATAAAATAAAATAAAATAAAATAAAATAAAATAAACATGGAGTTAATCTGTTCAGGAAACACACTTCATGCACTTATTGGTCTTGGGGAAATAGACAACATACTACCATACCAGATGCAGCCTGTCTTTTTATATACAAGTTGTTTTTAGGTCTAATTATGGATGCTCTAAAGCATCGTTCTAAATGTAATGTTCACTAGGTATGTCGGGGCTACAAATCTGAAAATTCTAGGCAGCCTTCCATTGTCGACGGAGGTTCCCAATTTGGGACAGTTCTAAGCAAAAAACACATCCATTAATAGCCGTAAGCCATACTACATGCTGTTCCAGAAGAGAGATATTTTCTTGCAGCACCAGCAACAGATATGACATCAAACTTAGAAAACTTAAATCAATTCCTGTTTCATAGCATGAGTAGTACTTATTCATCCTGGCCACTCATTCACATTTCTTTGCAGGAACAACAATCAAGCATTAACATAAATTGCTGAGAGTGTCTCAAAAGCAATTTAAGCATCCTGTGTGAAAAACAATAATGGAGGTTGCTGCCTAAGTTCTGCAGATAAAGGCAGTGGTTCAACTTCTTGCTCTTTCTCTTTTGGTCCAGTAAGGTTCAACACACAGGTGCTTTACTTGGTTCGGGAAGAGAGCAATAAATTAAAATGGTCCTTTTTAGGATAATTAGGACTGATGACTATTAGCCATGTATATCTGGTACATATTAGTTCAATTCTAGTCTCCTCCAAAAAGGTTTGCTTCTCTGATTTCTCGAACTAGGACAAACAGCAATAGCTTGGTTAGGTCCCACAAACTGTGGCTTTAAACCAAAATAAACTGATCCCTTAAGGAGAGAGTAGTATCTTTACAAACACAGTAATGCAAGCTTGATGCAGTAAATTAGAAGAAATTTCATTTCTTTTCCTGTATAGCTTAGGTTAACAAGATAATCTCAATATGTCCTAAATTTCACAGTCTACCCTATGAAGTGGGCTTTTAATTTCATTTCACAAGAAGAAGAAACTTTCTGGGATGGCTATCATTCAAATCTCTACATCTGTGTTGCATATGTTACTCATATACACATAAGCATGAAGCAGCACTTTTTTATACCAACAAAAGTTTTCATTCTTATCTCACACACACATACACACATACAAGCTTGCACATATTTTGTAGTCTGTGGCTGGTTACCACTGTGTTCCGTGCCACCAGAGTGGAGGAGGACATGTCTGCTCAACCTCATGTGGCCATACAGACTGTATTCAGGAAGTACTTTCTAAATTACAGTGCCCACTAAAGTGCCCTCCCACTCTTTCATATTCATAGGACTGATTCATTAGATGTTGGATCTTTAGTGCTAGATGGCGGAGTGTTGATGGCTTGGTCCTTGTGAGTTACCAGAGGTGATGTTTCCCCATCATCCTTGCTGTTTGGAATGGCTTCCACGTGCACATCACTGAGTTCTGTAAACTTCTCCTTCGTTTCCTTTGGATTCAGATAATCAAGGATACCTGCTCCAAAGGCATCACCTTCTACATTCACAACTGTTGTGGTCCGGTCCCTGGACAATAGGTAAAACATGGACATGTTTTCACTGGTGTTAATGAAATATATCTTTAGACATTTGCAGAGGCTCAATCTACCTTTAAAAGCAACAGATTTGAGATGTGTCATTTGCCACCATCTGTGTTCAAAACTAAAGATATCAAAAAGCACACTAAGCAGAGCTGCTTAAAAAAGCAGATACCTCTGCCCAATTTTCTGTAAGCAAAATTAGGATCAGAAGCTTAACCAGAATAGTTTACTGAAGGAGAATGGTAGTACCATCCTATATCCATTAGTCAGTCATTTTTGCTGGCCAGCAAGGTGGGTTCTTCCTGCTTGGCTGGAGAGCTTGACTATGAAATTGGGGACTACACCAAAGACAACTCCTTTGAGCCCCTCCAATTTTAAACACCCTCCACCAAGATTTTTTACCATCCTTCTCAGGATTAATGGAAAAAGCACCAAAATAAACACTATATCCTCCTTGAGAAGTTTTGATGTTTCAAAAGTCTGCTTGAAGCAAAACTGTTTCCCATTTACCATAATTCTGCTCATCCTTTTCCTGACATATGAGAAGCATCAACATTAAACATTCCTTACACTTAATTGCAATTTATTTTTTACAGTTATGGCTAAGCTCATATCTAAATACTTGAGTCTCAGGATGCAGCCTCTCTCCCACCGCATGCCAGGGAAAAACCCCCTGCAAACTCTCTTTTCCCCCCAGGAAGAACAAGAAAGTAATTCTCATTTCATGGGATACGTGGTTTTTAATTGCTAATTTCCTCTGCGTATCCCCCTCTCAACCTCAGATAGCTTTTGGGATGATCAGAATGGAAAAAGATGCAAATCAAAAATTGAGAGCAGTGACTTTCTTATGCCCTTCATCAGCAAAAAACAAATTATGCTGTGTGGGTTGCAGCTGCTCTCTTCTTGATGAAAGCACTTTTCAAAGGGTTGCTCCAGCCACTAAGACCCCTGATTCTTTGAGAACCACAATATCCAAGAGCCAAAGTACATACATTTGGATACTTACACAATCCAGTCCACAGCCAATATGAGGGAGATATCATTCGTGGGAAGTCCAATAGCCTCCAAGATAATAGCTATGGTTAGAACTCCTCCAGCTGGAATCCCAGCAGCTCCCACACTGGAGGCAGTGGCAGTAACCCTGTCAATAAAAATTATTTTGGGTTTTGCTGACATTTCATATATGCATTAAAATAATGCTGAATGTTATTCAAAGTTTATTCTTCTGTACTCAGGGATCTTTCTTTCATTCTACCTGCTGATACCAGACACTGGAAAGAGGCTGTTCTCCAATGCAAGTCCAAATCACTTGCAACATCATGCAAATGTTATCAGCAATCACCTAATTGTGGTTGCATCGAGTTTCCCATTTGTGCATGCAATTGATCTAAATCACTGAAATACATCACATTCAGAAGTGGCTTAATGACATATCTATTTGCTGCTTCCTTTTACATTGCCAACCACAGCACTGTCAAGCCAGGTATCCCTTTGAGCTCTTACTCCCTACATCAGAATACGCTATTATCTCATTAGAAGGAGAAAAGTGCAGCTATTTTCAGCATTTCTCTGAAAGGCACAATTTGTAAATGATGCTTTAACCAAAGTGCAATGCAGCAAGCTAAAAAGAGTCAAATTGTTTCTCTGATTTCTCTGATGTACCTGAGCAGCTGATACTATCACTTACAGAATGGTAAAGATCTGTCCAATGTTGAGGTCAACGTTGTTCAGTTGAGCAATAAAGACAGCAGCTATGCATTGGAAAATAGCAGCTCCATCCATATTCACAGTAGCCCCAATGGGCAGAATAAATCTGCTAATTCTTTTGTCTACTTTGTTGTTATCTTCAATGCATTTGATCATGGATGGAAGAGTTGCAGAGCTAGATGTGATCAAGGAAGAAGCATAAGAACGTCAAGTCCAGCAATGTTCCCTGCAGCCCAAAATATAAGTATTTGTCTGTCAGCCTAAATATATAATGTCACATTCCAGATACGTGCTGTTCCTGAAAATTAGGACACTGGAAGAAGATTCTACTTTATTCATTTCCAAAAGAAATACTGAATCTTATGAGAAAAAATAAAAAGGGAGTTTTATTATACATTTTTATTATTATGTCCATTTCAGTTCTATTATGTCTGGTCTAAAGAAACATTCTTTCAGTCAAGCACTTATTCTCAAATTGTCTCTCTCCCCATCCTATAAGATACAATAGTAAGGCCATTAAAACCTTTGCCATCAAGCCATATTTTATCACATAGAGACACAGACTATCCACACCCCATTCTAAAAGTTTGCTTTATATTTTAATAACTGTGAAGTCCCTTGCTTTGCAAGAAAAGCTATGAAGCTACAACGTTACTCTACATTTAAATACTGTAATATCATCCCCATTTCATAAAGGAAAAATCTACCAACCTGGAACAAGTAGCAAATGCTGTGGTAAACGGAGTTATAAGTCCTAACAGAAAAGTAAAAGGGTTTTTGCGTGTAACTGCAAAATAAATAAGTGGTAAAATAATCCCTCCATGAATAATATGGCCAAGAATTGATGCAAAGATGTATTTTCCAAGGCTTGTCACCAGCAGGATAATATTATCCATTTCCACAATCTTGCTCCCAACTAGAAATGTAATGCCGAGTGGGACGTACCTGAAAAAGAAGTACTGAATGTTACAGCTTTTAACAAGAGTTTTTGAATGGGATATACAATATTAAATCAAATATATTAAGAACACAAGAGCTTTGTGATGTATGGAAAATCCTGAATAACGTTCTAATTTTTGACAGAATGAAAAAAAAAAAACAACGGGCCAGTGACTTCTAAAACCCACACTAGTGCTACAGAATAAGCATCAGATTGTCATACAAAATTTCCCTCAGTAAATTAAATTCTTGTCTATTCTTCTGGTGTGGGTCATTCATTTGCACATTTGCTACTACCCTTGAGTTGACCAACTAAACTGAACTAATTAAAAAATCTGTGGCAAGCACAACAGCATCTATTTCATATTCAAAGGATGATGATGTGAATGAGGGCTATTTTCATGAATATGGTTAGGATGAGGAGGGAAGTGAATGGTACAAGAAATGATCAAGTCAGAAGAGGCAGTTTTATAGCTATTGAACTGAATGTCCTGTATGTAAGTTGGAGAAACAGTGGATTAATTTGGTCAAAACTACATTTTGTTTTGCAGACAGAGGTTTGTTTAAATTTGGAGCATCCTGATTTGCTGGAAGAGAGACCTCTGAAAGAGACTTCAGAGGAGCATCACCGGAGCCTTGGCAACCTCCATGACAGAAAGGGAAGTGGATTGGAAAGAATCTAGACATTTCCCCAATTGTGCTGAGTTCTCCTGGGCTGAGACAGAGGAATACTTGGAAGTCTGGCAATCTGAACGAATTAATTAATGCGTTATGTTTAGGTGGTCCCATTTAAATATGGGATTCTCTAATCTCAGAGCACTACCATCATACTGACCAACACAATCTCTCCCTAAGCTTCTGGTCCTGAACTCAAGGCACCTGCTGAAGTTCCTTTGCCTTTTGGTATTGGGTGACTTTGTCCACCTTGCCTTGTGTGTGGACTCTGGACAGACTCAGGAATTCATGATCTCCATGATGACCATGGGCTCATCCCTGGTGATCTCAGGCCCACCATTTTGAGGTAGCCATACATTAGACCTTGTGCTCCTCTTGAAGAACCTGATCAGCACAGTAATCTAGTTGTGGAGGGGATAACATCTAGCTCTTTGCCATGGTTAGATCGCTTCCTGATCTGGATGACACTGGCTGCCACCCAAGACCTTCATGGGACCCCACCACTGGATTCTGGTAGGCACTTGGAGAATTTCCACATGATCTAATGGGCAGTTCTGTTGTATGCCTAATTAGCTGCTGGGAACAGGAGATGACCTAAGCTCCTGATGTGATTGTTCCGTAGCAGCTTCTACCTGTTGATCCTGGTTGGCTCTTTGATTTACTAAAGGCTTCTGGAAGACAAAGCAACAGAAAAAGCACCTGGAGCATTGGCAGAAAAATATAATTGAATATGACCAAGCATGGGTACAAGCTCATATTTGAGCCTTAACCACAGCAATAAAGGAAGGAAGTGTCTCTACTTCTCCTTCCTTATCATATCAGTGGAGTGTCAGCTGGCTGCCTGTTTAGGGTGACACATTCCTTAGGGAAATGCCAGACAATCTCCCACCTGGCAGCCATGACTATTTTGCAATGCACTTTGCTGATCACGTCACTCAGATTCACCAAAGTCTTGACTCTGCATAGGGAGTTCTATAGTGGAGTTTGGAATGACATCTGGCCATGTTAACCTGGACTCTTTGGGCCTGTGCGTTCTGATGAAGTGGATAGAGTACTCACTAGTATGTCTTCTGCTGCTTCTGGGCTAGATCCATGCCCCTCCTGGCTCTTGCGGAGGAGAGGAGGGGGTGTGATTAGCTGTATTCAAGTAGTAGATGTATAATTACAAGAGGAAATATTTCCTTCAGCTCTGAAGGAGGCTGTGGTATGCCTCCTCCTTATAGGCCCTCCTGGGATCCAGCTGTATTAGGCAACTGTTGCCTTGTCTCCACCCTTCCCTTCTTAGGGAAGGTTGTTGAAATTGTAGTGGGAGGCAATTTCAGAGCATCCTAATAAAAGCAATTATGTAGATCCTTTTTAGTTGGGATTCAAGTTTGGGCATAGGATGGAAACCACATTAGTTGCACTTGTTCATGACTTTTGGCTGGTTCTATAGATGGGCAGTGCACCCCTCCAGGTCCTATCAGACATCTCAGCTGCTTTCAGTAACATGGTATTCTTTTGAACTATCTATAGGGGGTTGGCGATTGTGAGCACTCTGTTCCAGTGGTTCTGAATTTTCCCCAGTGAATGGTTCCAGTCAGTGGTTGCAGGTGGGATAACCCCTCCCCCCCAAAAAACACTACTGGATGTGTGGAATCACCAGCACTGTTATCTACAAGATCTAATAAGTCAGGCCAATTCTGATTGGATCAGGTGGTCCTGAAGATATCCAGATGCAAAGGCATGTTAACACCAGCGTCTCAACTTGTACCTGGAAACTAACTGGCAACCAACAAAGGACCATCAAATCAGTTTTAAATGCTCATAGCATAAAGAGCCAGTGAGTACACAGGCCACTGCATTCTGGACCAGTTGTAGTCTTCGAGAGCAATCCCATGTTAAGTGCATTGCTGCAGTTCTGACAGATGTTGATGAGGAAATGGCTTAGCATAACCAGGTCCTCCTGTATCAGGTAGGAGGACAATTGGTGCACCAGCCAAAACTGGGCAAAGACCCTTCTAGCTACAACCTTCACCTGCTGTTCTAGCAGGAGCCATGAGTATAGAAGGATCCCCAAATAATGAACCTGGCCATCCAGAGACAACACTGGTACTGACAAATAGCCCTAAGGTCCAAACAGCAACTCTATCTCATTTGAGTTCAACTTCAGTCTGTTCTCTCCCATCCAAACCCTTACAATCTCCAGGCACTGGGATTGGATATCAATAACATCTTCCTATGACCCGGAAGTGACAATGTAAAGTTGGGTATCATCAGCGTGTTGATGTTGTCCCCAAATGTCAAAAAAGCACTCCTGTGGCACTCCACATATCAGAGGCCATTGGGCCAATCTGTCACACCCTACAATTGACTGAAACCACCCATGAGGAAGAAGCAGAACCACTGCAAAACAGTGCCTGCAATCTCAAATTCCTGTAGACCATCCAGTAAAATACTATGGTTGATGGCACTGAAAGCCATTGCTTGAAAACAGAGTTTTCCCAAGTTTTCCCTTTTTACTAACACAGACCCTTAAATCAGCATTCAGCAAACTCAGAAACTGTGCAAATGCTCTCAGTGTCAAGCCAATGTCACAGATCTTAACTGGTTTGAGTAAGAGAAAAAGTGGCTAATTAAAAAATCTTCCAAAATGTCAGAACCCCAACTGAACACATTTTAAAGAAAAAATAGACATCCATAGAAGAGCCATCTAAAAACATTTCAGTTAAGAGTCTGGCTTCCACTTTCCTTCCCACTCAGGAAAACAGAATATTTCTTCTTTTACAAAGCAACATCTGAAGGTTTCTCAGAAAATGGCAGTGGTATGGTCTGAAGTGGAGTGAATTTCCAGAGGCCCAAGAGTACCTTCTTGCACAATTTCAGCTTCCATGACCCTTTCACTCTGCAGAGGTGTTATATGCCAAAATTGCAAGTCTTGCCTACAAGCTGGCCTACTTTTTAATTCCAATATTGAATCAGAGAAAAAGCTGGCCTTGTGCTAAATATGAAGGTCAATTGCACAAGGGACATGACAGAAATCCAGGCCTTGACATGCCAATAGCCTACTCACAACCCTCTTGAGTCAATATATACTAAAAAGTAGCTGATAGATTTAGGCTGCTCACTTTCCTATACCAACTTTCCATACGATACTGGCAGAAGGAAGTTAGAATCAATTGATTCAGAGGAACAGAGTATATGTCCTTCCTGGAGGACAACAGCTTGATGCACAACTGGCAATTCTGTAAAACCTGCCATTGTTCCATGACAATAGCTATGTACATCTTACATAAGCAATAAATAGGTAATCCTAAATGCTCTTGCTAAGGAGCAAATGCTATTGCAGGCAGTAATAAGCATGTTTAGACTTGCACAGTTAAAAACCTGAAAGATATGGAAACAGGTTATTAATATAGCTACACAACCAATGTGTGTGCAGATGGAATCCAATTATTGAATACACCAACTGGGCTTTTAATAACTGAATATCTATGCTCCCTCTAATGCAATTACAGTAATTATGAACAAATAGTCAGAAATCTCTACTGCATTTCTGAGCATCTTTTCCAAAGGAGAATTTAGTTTCTAGGTGAGCTAGAGAAGTATACCTGAGCCACAGACTTTTCCCACAACAAAAAGCCTACCTGATATTTGATTGCATAGTTTTTACATCACTGATTACTCCTCCCAAGTACCAAACTGCTGATTCATACTCCTTGCCTGATAAAGGAGGTAAATTGTAAACATGTTGAACATTTCTGCTTAACTTACTGCACACACCAGGTTCTGTTCGACCTTAAGATTCTGCTGGACAGTCAGCAGGTAATTGTCCCTCTTAAACTAGATGCTACAGATTATGGAGACCCTTTACTTTAGAATGTAGGGTTGAAGAGAGGGTAGTGTATGCAGTAAATTGTTTTAAACTGGCCCAGCACTGGAAGTTTTTCAGATTGCAGTATTATTATGAATACTCACCACATAATCCAAGATACTAAGACCATGGTTGCCTCATTGAAAGAATTAAAGAAACGAATGAGTTCTTCTCCTTCAGGTCCAAGTTTTTTCAAAGCTACTCCCAAAACCAGAGCAAAGAGGACAAGCCCCAGAATATTCATTCCTTCAATCTCAGTGCCAACAGGGAACTGTGAATAAGATACATATAGCTATACCGTTAAGTGTTTTAGTGTGGTGTTCCAATTACATGAAGCTAGATCTCCAAGATTATTTTGTTTTATCTTTTGATATTAACTGTAGTAAGTTAACAAATGAATGGAAACAGCACTCAGAAAATGATAAAAGAGAAACCCACTAGAAATAATCTCTGAATGCAGATGTAATCTTTCAACAGAAGAGATTATTTTCAGAAGAACCTCCAGAATGAAGATGTTGGATCCTCATTATTTACCATGTCAACATAAAGATAAGCGCATTATGTATTTAAGATTAGTACATTATTTGTACTTATAACGTAACACTTTTACAATACAAGGAGCATTTCAATCTGACTGTGCAGTTTGGAAGGAGGAAAAATCATTTACCTAAACTGACTTGTTTATTCAAAGTGGCCCTTGACACCATCTAGTTATCTTCAAACACTTTGTGCAGACTACAAAGGCAAATAATGATTTCTACATCATTTTGTGGGCAGGACAAAGGTATTTGTGATGGAATGTGAGGGTGACCTTGGAAGGGAGGGGAAGAGATGTCACCTAGGGAATGATCAGATAAAAGAGAAAGGAGTCCGCAACAGAGTAATGGCCAGAGAAAGAAACTTAGGAAGGACCCGCCCTAACTACTCAGGTGGAAAATAGGGAGGACGGGAGTTTTGTACTTTTAGACTTGCAAGATTCTGTTAATGTAGCCTTACAATAAAGTAGAATTAGCTCATCTAGTCGTGTTTCCTGTCTGATTTACCTGGAGGGCTGACACGGGAGTTTTGTACTTTTAGACTTGCAAGATTCTGTTAATGTAGCCTTACAATAAAGTAGAATTAGCTCATCTAGTCGTGTTTCCTGTCTGATTTACCTGGAGGGCTGACAGTATTACAGAATGCAACACTGTAATTCTCAGTGTTGACTGAGAATGGCTTTGGGGCATTTGAACTGAGGACACTGACCCCACCCTTACATGCATTCAAGATCATGGCTGAACAGAACCTATGTTTGGGAGTGGTGGGGAGAACAACCTTTAATCCACATTCCTCTCCATATTTATATTGTCTAACAGGTCAAAAGAGATAATTAACTGTAAGAATAAAACAAAGTTTGATTCATTTGTTACTGGGGATGGAAGGGAACACAGCATTCAGTAGACCTATCCAAATAGTCAAAAGACTATTAAAAAAGAGAAAAAAGCAAATAGCTAAGGCATAGTATTTGTATATAAAGCATTTATGTTATTGTCACATCTCTGAATGAAATAAATCTATGAGCTTCTCTTCCAAAGTGACCACAAGTGACCATTATGTGTGCTTTGAGACAAATGAGATTGCCAGGGTAGACTTCAAATTTTTCCGTTTAAAAGTGATCCTAGTATTATTCAACAGCGGAAGAAAGATACAATTCTGACAATATCTGGGAACTTAAACTTGGAGAATATGCAGTCTGGCTTCTAAGCGGGCCCCAATGTTTATAAACACCACAAATTAGTAGAGGCAAAAAAAGGGGGAAGTTAGAAACCAAATAGCCTTTTTCTTTTGTTTTCCTTTCCTTATTTCCTTTCTTTATTCTTTGGTATTTTAATCATTGTCAAATTTGTTTTGTTCATCTTCCTTTTTCCTTTTTCAGCATGCACAAACAACATTAAGTAGCGTTACAACTGAGACCTTAATACTAAGTAATCAGCTTAAGAACGAAAACTTTATTGTGCAACAAATACTTTGATGTAATCTGAAGCAGTTTTCTTTAATGCTATATTCAATTCTGGATGAAAATGTTTCATAATCTTACACTCATTAACATGGACATTTTAAATCGTAACAAATATTGATATAATATTTCTTTCTTTTTTTAATCTTCAGTGGTCTAAGTTATCTAAACATTAGAGTGTTAATAATCTTTAATCAAAACTGTACAAATACCACTGTATCAAAACAATATAATATATTGTATTTGTAAATTTCACAACAATAATAAAATATTATTATTAAAAAAACTGATCATAGTGGCTTAACTTAAGTGTTACATGTAAAAGTACCTGAAGAAAACATTTTCAAGTACAATGCTAATTGAAGCTGCTTTAGGTATATCAAACTGATCTTTTTCTGTTATCAACCATAACATACTATTGTTCCTATTGGGATACTATTCAGACTTACAAACTTAATTTAGAAATATACTGTACATTCATCTTTGAGATATAATTAACAAATGATATAAGTGAAAGGATAAAAAGGCCTTTAAAATAATAAACTTGTGAAGAAAATACAGGGTTAACTGATGAGCTTTACTCTAAATATTTTGACATTATAATAAAATATGAGGAACCTTTACTTTGGGTCACCTGCAAGCACCCCACCCCCACCCCCCAGATCCTCTAAACCCTGCAGAGGACTGAAGAAGATGGTGTTTCCACCTCTTCTTCTGTCTATGCAAGAAGGTCCTCCTTCTGATCATCTTTTCCCCAAACCCAGGAGAAAATTAGGAATTGTTTTTGGACTAGCAACCCTCTGGAACCTGACCCTGACTTTGAATGCAAATGGTTATTGTCCACTGTGGCTGGGTGTCTTTAGTCATGACTGATGTGAAAAGTCATGTGAAAGGTGATTCTCACCTCTGAGGACTTGAGGGAATGATCCATCTCTCCTATCTTGCAGAAAGTGTTTGACAACACCCCAATCTTCAGTAATTTAGAGAAAGAGTCTCTACAGAGTCAGAAGTCAACATTTGCTCATATACTATTTATTTATTTATTTATTTATTTTATTAAATTTCTCCCCGCCTATCTCCCCCCAATGGGGGACTCTGGGCGGTTCACACAAAACATTAAAACCATAAATACATATTTAAATTTCTCCCCGCCTATCTCCCCCCAATGGGGGACTCTGGGCGGTTCACACAAAACATTAAAACCATAAATACATATTTAAATTTCTCCCCGCCTATCTCCCCCCAATGGGGGACTCTGGGCGGTTCACACAAAACATTAAAACCATAAATACATATAAATACATAAAACATAAAAATTTAAAAACATTACTAAAAAAGGGGAAGAGAATTCAAGAAGGTGAAGGGTCTGGGGCTGAAGACAGCAGGCCTCTATGGGGCTAGCCATCCCCACGCTTGAAGTATTCCTTCCCCACTCAGGCCAAGTGGCAGAACCAGGTCTTCAAAGCCCTCCAGAAGGCCAGGACTGAGGGGGCCAATCTCACCTCCAGGGGCAGAATATTCCAGAGAACAGGGGCTACCACAGAGAAGGCCTGCCTTCTGGACCCCGCTAATCAAAGTTCTCTTACTGCAGGGGTCCGAAGCATGCCCTCTGTGTGATTGAGTGGGACGGGTTGAAGTCATGGGGAAGAGGCGTTCCCTTAGGTAACCTGGTCCCATGCTATGTAGGGCTTTAAAGGTGATAACCAACACCT